CATTGACTCCAATTGTTCACATTAGAGCAAAATTCAAAATGCTGTCAAAAATTCAGTTTTAGAGATAAAATTCTGAAATTTGCCACACATCATCTACCATGACTCTAGAATTTTGTCATTTTTTCATGAACATTGAAAAAGTATTTAGCAAGAATTTGCATGTATATGTTTACAATATCGTTTACAGTCAAACATTTTGATGCACTCTAGGCTCAATTTTTGATAAATCAAAAAAGTTTAAGTTTATTCAGTTTAAGTTTAAGTTTATTCATTTTATTAAAACCTGAGAAACAAAGTTTTTGTAGGACAGCCTAAAGATGCTCTGTAGCAAGTTTGGTGTCAATTGAGCAAAAATTGTGGGAGGAGATAGGTTTAATAAGCTTTACAGTTTTTGAAAAAAAAAAATCTTCATAATTTTAATAGGTTTAAATGTATGCATTTTGGTGAAAGTCGCAAATCTGTAGCACATGTGATTGATTTGTTGTGAATTTTCAAAATTTTGAACTTTAGAGGCTTGCTGTAGCGCCACCATCAGCACTATTGGCCTGTTTTTGCAGCTGAGGCAATCTGGCATGGGACTGGACCTTTGTGCAAAGTTTGGTGATTTTTCGCGCATGGGAGCAGAAACTCTATACTTCCTGTGAGAATGGGAGTGGATTTTGAGAAGACACAATACATTTTACAAACGTAAATTGACCTGGCTTCCTGGAACTTCAAGAACAGATGCTGGAGGATACCTCATGCCTCAAATGTAGACATGAAAGTCCACAGACAAAGCTGTAATATTTGACGAGTTGGGATGAGAATGTGTTGGTTTTTCAAGCCATATAAACAATTACAGTAACAGGACAATTAATAGATATGTATCTTAAACTGAACCGTCTTTTGTCACCACCCCCATTGCTGTCAGATGGCGGTGCCTGAGCACTGACTGACTTATATCAGCAAGGTCACAAGGAATGCTTACTGCACTTGGGAAAAAAATCTGTTGACAATGTGGGGGGCAACAACATTGATGTGGTAATAATGAGTGAAAGTATGTGAAGAGTCTCAGCTCCCAGCAGGACAGATGTTTTGCAGAGAGACCCCATACAAGCCTGACCAGGACATGGACACACACCGTGTAGAGTGACACTTCACATTACGAGGGGCAGACATGTGAAGAATCACATTCACACTCCAATTAGAAAATCTGTTTTGATTTAGATTTATCATTCTCACAACACCACATGCAAAGTTCGTCAGTCTTTGGTAAATTAGCAATGGCCTCAACATATGAAGCTCAGTGTAAGTTCAATCAGGAAGATCTTTCTTGTGTTCACCCTTTCACATTTTCTCCATCCCACTCTCACTACTACCTCTACTCAGCTGACTATGCGTGTTCACTCTTCTAGTTATCCAATCACACTTTTCTCAGCCAATCAGGATGCCACTGCAACATTTTAAATCTGCTCTCTCTTCTGCTGCTGTCAGCCATCATTTTAGGCAGAATCATGCACCCTCCTCCACCCCGGTCACCTCCAGCCATCGTATCCAGAGTCCAGGACAAGCTCTCAAAGACTCACTTCTCGCACTTCTCCATCTTCCTCTGATCTAATCTTCACCACCTCTACCACCACCAGCGTCTAGACCCCGGGAGGTTGTTCCCTATTTGACGATGGATTCATCACCCTCCTTAAATCAAACTATCTCTACAGGGTCTAGTCGCCAAAGACTTTCCACATTCTTATTCATTCGTTCACGTTAATAAATATTCTTTTACCATAAAAACGAGTCTCTCCTGACTGAAATGCTTTGAGCGCCCAAACAGGGCACAGCAGCTGTCATATGCTATATGTCGTATGCTGTGAGGCAAATTGTGATTTGTGATATTGGGCTTTATAAATTTGATTGATTGACTGACTGACTGACTGACTGATTGACTGATTGATTGATTGATTGAGCAACTCTGATGGCCTCCTTAATTGAACCAGGTAGACTGAATGATGCCAACTCAGTCGCTTGGTTTAATTTGTGAGGGAGGAACTCTCTTTAATCCAGCCAAGTTGACCTACTCTCAGATTCTTTCATTGCAAAAACATAGAAGTAGCTGATTGGGTGGTGACACTGGGGTTTTGTACTGAAGCAGATGACTTTGTTAGAAAAACAACTTGACTTGCACATATGCAACATAAATATCCTGTCCTAAGGCACCACCATCATGAGGTCAGGAAGAATGAAATATAACAGTCTAAATAGTCTCTTTATTAAATTGTGGTTTTACCAGAGCATTTGTCAGGGTTTTAAGAGCAGATGTTTTAAACACATCATCACCAAGTTGTTTTACACAAGAGACAGTTTTCTACGACAGTGGAAATATTGTTCATGAATTTGGGTTACTGAATTCAACAATCTTTTATTAGTTAAAATAATCTGAACATGTATGAGCATTATCATGGCTCATTTATTCTGAGTATGTGAACCAACCCACATGAAAAATGAACTGTTTTCTCTTCATGCTGTTGAAGTTACCTGCCTGGTTGTTAAACATGATCAATAAATTTGACTGATTATTTGAGTGAGTAATTTGTACAAAACACCACAAGCTTCAATCCTATCATTAACGTAGAGAAATCTCCAACTAAAGCATTGTTTGCTATTGTTTTTATTTCAGTTTGTTTTTATTAAGACTAACTTTCACATGATGTCCAACATAATATGTTACTTAGCAAGTGATTTTGTGTCACACTCTTACATCAAACACTGCTGTGTCATTTTTATGGTCACAATGACCTTTGTATTTGTGTGTTTGTGAAAACAAAATTGTATTTAAAACATGCACAAATATGTTGTGGTACAAATGCTGTTTCAAAAGTATCCCTCATAAACTAATACTTGTCAATTTATGAGAGAAGACTAGTGCTGTAATTCTATAATGTGTTAAGATTAGGGATTGATAACAATGATTTAATTGATTCTGCTTATAGATCCAGTTCTTTTTCTCCTTTGATATTCAGTCCTTTTGAATAGTTTTAGTCTTTCTGTCACAGTCTGTCTCTACACTATGTTAGCCTCAGAGGAGCCAGGCTTTAGTATCCAAAATGTAACAATGTGTTTAATAGCTTTCCTGAACCAGGGGTAGAAAAAGGCATAGATCACAGGGTTTAGACAGGAATTAAAATACATCAGCCAAATTTGAATTACTGCAGTTGACACCCCTACCAAGTTGTTCTCAGCTGCAACACTTAAACAATAATAAGGAGAGAAGCACACAAGAAACACAACTACAACAATACCAAGAGTTCTGGCTGCTTTCATCTCAGATTTCTTGGCAGTTATTTTCTTTGAACGTTGTGCTTTGACCGCTGTAATGTAGGAGTGCATGGCACGAGCCTGAGTCACAGCCACCACAAACACTCTCATATACAAAACTATGATGACAAGAATGGGAGCAAAAAAGGTCACAACAAGGTCAACAGCTCCTTCAATATAATTAACTACAATTACACACTCTCCATAACAGGAGTTATACCTGCCTGGCTGTTTCAAGAAATCCCTCAGCATCCAACTGCTGTGAACAGCAGACAATAACAAACAGAGACAAATGCAGAGTCGAACTCTTTTCACAGTGACTTTGATGGAGTAAAACATGGGGTCACAAATAGCAATGTAGCGGTCAGCTGATAAGAGCACCATGTTTCCTACTGATGCACTGACAGAGAGGAAACCTAAAAAGTAATTTACATTACATAATGAGTCACCTAGATCCCAACAACCTCGATAGAGGAGGATTTCACCTGGCATCTGCAGGAAACCCACAATGAAGTCCGCAACAGCCAGAGAGAGGAGGAAGAGGAGGTTGGTCAACTTAAATGTGACATCATGCTGCAGAACTCAAAGCCATTTCTTCATGTAACTGTAACCAAAGAATAAACACTTTGTAAGCCAAGCAGAAAAGTGTATCTCTGCCTGAAGTGGGAGATAGAGATGATGACCAGCAGGTTAAGAACCACGGTGAGCATAGTGATGAAAGACAGCACACTGTAACTGTGTGTGGCCTCCCAGTGAGGACGATTTGTCTTCCTGCAGGAGGTGTTGACTTGTGGAAAGCAGAGTTCAGCCTCCTCCATGGCCATCAACAAAAGGCTTTGATCAGAAAGCTGCCAGAGCTCAGTAACTATCAATTAACAGATGTACAGTACCAGGCAAAAGTGATGCAGCGCTGCCTTAGCAAAGTCATGAGGCAAGGATATAGGTTTTATTTCAACACTGGGGGACAACATATTAAACATGGAGTTTAAGGTCCTTCCCCAGGAAGTATTATGCGTTAAACACTCTTTTTTTCCTGCATTGTGACATCTCACACCACTAGGCCTTGAGACCCATAAGCATGAAGAATTACATCCACAATCCAATTAGTAAGTCCGTTTTGATTGAGGTTGATTCATAGAACCTTCATAGCAAATTAAATTTGTAAGACTGATGTAAAATGGCTGTGGCCTCCACGTATGCTTTGAGTTCCAAAACCACGCACAGTAGCTCTGGTGTTGCTTTGGCTTTGGCGTTCTGCACCAAGAGCCTCGGACTGAAACAGCTTCTCAGAAAGATCTGAATCTGGATGTTGACTCTCCAGTTTGCTCTCTTTGTACTTATCAAAGCCATGCATTAAAGCTCATTATAAACTATTCTGCCTGTCTTCAGTGCTGCTTTTGGGTCCAACACTCACCCATTACACAGATCAAATCTCTTGGAGGAGTTTGTTAAAGTATAGTTTCTATAGACAGACTCTACATTCAGTGAATGTAGAGTCTGTAGGCAAACCCTGGAGATCTTGCCTCCGGCAGAAGAGTGGAAGAGCCCTGGTTTCCGGTTGTAGGCTGTTTGTAGTCCTTGTGATACTGACCAATCACGTTTGAGCCGGGTGCAGTTGTTGCCAGGATAAACGGTCCGTGCGGTGAACTAACGAGGCGGAACATAATTGGCATTACCGCAAACTCTGAATCCATCGCAATGGTTCAGTATATTTACTTATATATAAATGGATGTCGGAAACGGAAATTCGCCTCCTCCGCCCAAATCAAACCGGAATGCCAAAAAATTGGGGGTCTGCCCCCAGAGGCTGTATCGTCAGGCGCCGAATACAGCCGATGGGTTTCGAGAATGGTTAAAGTATGACACCTTGTAATGGCCAGAAATTTCATGCTTTAGCATGTAAAACATCTTTTTGCCTCTGTTGCCAACCAAAGCTAAACATGAGTTACATTATAGCTGTTACAAGCCTAAAGTTAATCTCCCTCATCACTATTAATAGATCTGCAAGAAAAAGAGCAAACAATCCCCTTATGATCACTGAAATATGTCGGCAACACCACCCATTCTACATCATAATGTACTGATTTAACGTACACGTGATCAATTATTTTACCTTCATTTCTGTAGTGGGTTGTTTCACAACCAGACTATACCCTTTTTATAATGTCATTATTGAAATCTCCCATGACAGTCACATCTGTCTGCCCACTCTAAGTCTTCAATTGTCTGTGCTCTATCTTCCTGTTTTAAAATACAATAAAGAACCTTTTTCCAACAAGTACTAGTGGAAGAAAACAAACAAAATCATGTAGGGACACCAAGCTGACGAAGACAAGCTAATAGGTTTGGCTTTGCACCCTGCCAAAAAGAGGGTGTTCTTCTAATGGGTTTAGGAAAGATCCCTCATTCTTCAGCAGATCATCACTTCCCTTTTTGCATGTACAACGCCCTTTTCATTTTCATAGTGCTATGGATACATTCCACACAACCTGTTCAATCTCAGACATGTACTGAGCAAAAGGGATATACTCTACATTGATTGAATTGATTGATTGATTGATTGATTGATTTTGTGCAAACCTGCCACCAGCATGCAGAATCCTATTATTGAAATAATGCAACAATATCAATCAATATGGTCTACTATCATGGTATGTATAACACCCCTGTGGAAACAACACTGGAGAGCATTTGGCTTTGTTTGTATGATCAGAAAGCAATTTAACAGGATTATTCCCTTCAGCTGGTGCCACATTCTATACATTATCAAAATAATATCCAGTGATTCCTGACCAATCTCAGCAGATACACATATCCTGGAACATACAATATTGCTGTCTATCATGCAAAAGCTCATCTTCAGCTACATGTATAGATGCTTCACCACTTTCTACATTAGTATCATCCTGATTTCCTAAAACCTCATCTTGTTCACTCCAAAATTAATTTAGCCAAGCTTCATTAAACTCTGCATCTTTATAATACTTATTTGTCTACTTTAAATATTGCAATGCTTGTCTTATGTGCATAGTGTCAACAAACTTAAAAATATAATACACTTTATAAGTTAGCTTAAGCTTCAGATTTACACACAGGACCCCAATGTGTGCAACGGCCCATTTATCACTGCTTTAAGCTTCACGTCATCTTGTTGTTGTTGTTGTTGTTCTTCTTCTTCTTCTTCCAAATGAATCTCATTTTCAAGGGGCTAAAGGTGCTTGAAAAGTCATAAAAATTTGCACACACACCATCACTTTTAAATAATTTGATATTTTAGGAATCTCATGCTCAGGTGCAAAAAAATGGCTCAGTAGCACTCCCCACAATTTTTTTTACAAAGCAGCCCTGAAAGCTGGTTTCACCTACTTGTATGAAACTTGGTAGGCACATGTTACATCCCAAAATGTGCAAAAAAAGTCTTTTGAAACCATATCCTAAACTTAATAGAAGTCAGTTATTTTTACTTGAATGTGTCATTTTTTTGTGTGTGCATTTTTGGCCACTTCCAAGGGTGATATCTGCACCATCCAACACCCTTGACATCAGAAGTTACTCAAAGCTTAGTTTTTGTCAAACTGTGGGACTGGGGTAAGGAATCAAACTACCTGAGCACTGCCTGGTGCTCGGGCCCTAATGGCATAGTCTTTGTGGGGATGTTGGGATGTGGGACTGGGCCAGGGGAAGCCTGCTTAGGGCACCAAATGTGCTATGTCCAGCAGTGTCAACAAATCAAATTGAGCTACTTTCACCTTCTTCAATCGCAAGAACATAGAAAAACCAGATCACATTAGGGATGTGGTGGGGCATGCGCCCCATGTCATTGCATAGTCAGAAGTGACTTTTTTGGTATAATCACTTGACCTGCACATATGCAACATAAAAATATCTAGTGCTAAGGCAAAAACCATCAGGAGCAATGAAATGGAAAATTCTGAAAAGTCTCTTTACTAAACAGTGTTTTATCACAGAACTTTTGTCAAGTCAAACTTTATTTGTAGATCACATTTAAAAACAACTGCAGTTGACCAAAGTGCTTAACAGGCATAAAAGACCAAAACAGATCAGAGCAAACAGCAGTATTAACAGAAGAGAACAATAAAGATAATAGAGAACACTGCAGCACAACAGAAAATAAAGTCAAAGTGTCAAGCACAAATCAATCATAAGCCATTGAGAAGAGATGAGTCTTCAGTAGTGACTTGAGGTTTCTACAGTTGGGGCAGTTTTTAATTCAATAGGTAGACTATTGCAGAGTTTAGGGGCAACCACTGTGAATGTGTCTACTTCTGGGAACATCCAGGAGCATCTTATCGGTTGACCTCAGTGCTCTAACTGGAGTGTGAAGCTAAAAGAGTTCTGCTACATAAGGTGGTACCAGAATATTTTAAACCTTAAAAACAAGCAATAAAATCTTAAAATCAGTTCTAAGATGGACATGTTGTTTTTATCTGGTAAATGAAGAACGGATTTTTTAGCATATTGTCACCAAGTTGTTTTACAGAAGAGCAGTTTTTTATGACAGTGGAAATATTATTCTTGTCTTTCGGTCACTGAAATCAGTCATCTTATATTAGCTGAAAATTTGCTGAAAATAAATTGTTTTCCCTTTATACTGTTGAAGTTGCCTGCCTCGTTCTGAAACATGATCAATAATTTTTACTTATTATTTGAGTGACTAATTTGCTTCGAACACCACCAGCTTTAATCCTGTCATAAGCCAAAGAATTGATTTTATGTCCACCATTCATTCTAATGTCAAACCCTGTTTGTGTGTGTGTGTGTATGTGTGTGTGTGTGTGTGTTTAAATGGTCATGGTGTATTTATGTAATTGCAAAATTGTGTAAACAAAACAAACAATGCAAAAATGTATTGTGGTACAACTAGTGCAAATGTTGTTTCACAGGTTCCATTTTATGCTTGTATCTGTCATTATTGAGAAAACATTAATACAATAACTCTGTAATGTGTACAGATTGGTGATTGGTAATGAAGATTTTATTAACACTGCTTATTCTTCCAAGACTCTTTTGATATTCACTTGTTTTTTCTCTAGATATAATATATTTGTCCTGACTTTATGTTTTGTACATTCAGTGTAGTAACAAATTAAATATAAATAATTCAGAGGAAGACAATGGTTTTAGTCTCTCTGTCACAGTCTGTCTCTACATTATTTTAGCCTCAGAGGAGCCAGGCTTCAGTATCTGAAGTGTTACAATGTGTTTAATAGCTTTCCTGAACCAGGGATAGAAAAATACATAGATCACAGGGTTTAGACAGGAATTAAAATACAACAGCCAAAGTTCAATGTTTTCAGATGACACCCCTAAAAAGTTGTTTTCAGCTGCAACAGTGAAACAATAATATGGACAGTTGAACACAATAAACACAACTACAACAATACCAAGAGTCCTGGCTGCTTTCATCTCAGATTTCTTCACAGTTATTGGCTTTGAACGCTGAAGTGTATCAGCTGCAGTTTGGGAGCGCATGGTACGAGCCTGAGACAGGACTACCACAAACACTCTCATATACAAAACTACGATGACAAGGACAGGGCTCACAAAGGCCACAACAAGGTCAACAGCTACTTCAATATAATTAAGTACATTTACACACTCTCCATAACAGGAGTTATACCTGCCTGGCTGTTTCAAGAAATCCCTCAGCATCCAAAAACTGTTAATGAGAGAAGATATCCAAGATAGACAAATGCAGAGTTGAACTCTTTTCAGAGTGACTCTGGTGGAGGAAAACATGGGGTCACAAATGGCCATGTAGCGGTCAATTGATATGAGAACCATATTGCTAATGCTA